CTTGAAAATTTTATGTTTTACTCTTTTGTTTTTTCTGTTACAAACATGGATCTAGAGGTGCAAATATACATGCCTGCTAAATCTATATCCATTAGAAGCATTTATATTGTGTCCTCATGCCTACGCTCAATAAGCTCAATAAATAACAGTGGCCATCACCTTATGTTCTTGTCAAAAATGACACAAAAGGGTGCATCCATGCCAAAAAACTGCAGGTTAATCTGCATATATTCTCTTAGCTGAATTCTGTTGCATCTGTAGCCTATTTGCTTTGAGGGTCTATGCAGCACTTTTTCTCTGTATTTTTTTCTCCTATTCTTAACAATCTTTAGGTTTTGGAATCTTGTACTCTTTGAAGTTGGTTTTTCCCCTGAAACGGTTTGGATATAATGTTTTAGCTAAAGTCTGTTGCATCTGTAGCCTATTTGCTTTGAGGGTCTATGCAGCACTTTTTCTCTGTATTTTTTTCTCCTATTCTTAACAATCTTTAGGTTTTGGAATCTTGTACTCTTTGAAGTTGGTTTTTCCCCTGAAACGGTTTGGATATAATGTTGCATCATCAAATGCGATAATTAATGAATAAATATCTCCTTGTCACTATACTTTTTCCTGCTTTCAGAAACTCCATTTCAGTTTCCTTTTTCTCTCTTTTGTTTAATTTATATTAAATGTTATGACTTCTCTGCCATAGGTATATAGCAACAATAGAAGGTGGTGTCCATCGAAGACACCTAATAGCCATAAGTGAGGGCACACAAATTGATGGCGTCCACTGTGTGCCTGATTCTGTTGAATTACTGCCATCACAACCTGATGCTTCAAGGCCTAGACTACGAATTGTGGTAATTTACTTAATTTAGTGCTGTAGTAACTCTAAAACTATTTTTAACTGTCTGATCTATGTTGTGAATTTTTCTGCTGCGGATGCATCAGTTTTCTCAGTGGTCTTTTATATATTTATGCATCCTATTGAAGGGAACATTGTTTACTGTGCTTCCTCTTGTGGTCTTTATTTTAATTTCTGGTCCTAACCAGATGTTTCCTGATTTGGTGCGACATCTTGTCCTAATTCCTCTTAAATTGAAACTATTTATGACGTAATGACTTCTAACAGGTTCATGAGGGAAGAAATCATGAAGTGCGTGAATTGGTGAAAAATGCTGGACTGAAGGTTAGTTTATAGTTCAAGGATCCTCAGGCGATTGCGTTTTATTATTATTATTTTTTACATCCAACACAGTTTTATTCTTTGAGGGTACAGTGTGATCTTGTTGACGGGCTGAGTGTACAGCACTATTTGATTCTTATGCTGTGCTAGAATTAACTGAATGATATTCACTGTCACACCTAATCCTGTTTACCATTAGTTTTGACTGATACTTGTATCCATCAATGATAACACATAGAAGCCAATTTGGCGGTTACTGGTTTCTGCAGAAAAATGTTGGAAATAGATGACTATATGCTGTTTTTGGATGCATTCACCTTAAGATTCTTTATTTATTCTTGATACTATTATGAACTTAAAAGAAATTTGTATTCGCACCGTGCCGATTTAATGCTTATCAGGAAATGCATGTTTAGGTCCCCTAATGCAAAATATTACCAATTTGGAAGACTATTCACTACAGTTTATTTGTCATCTGTTCATATGAATCATGATTTTGACTAACATCGCTCCGTTATGGTTTCTATGTTAGTATTCTTTCATGCAAGCACTTTAGTTTGCTTTATTATGCACATAGTCGTTAATCCTTTTCCTATTAATCTGTCAGCTTCATTCACTAAAGCGAGTGCGCATAGGCCGATTCAGGCTTCCACCTGATCTTGGGTAATTATGCTGACCAATGCAATCTAACCCTTCCATGCATTTTCTTTTTCCTCTACACATCTGTACATTTTTTACTCTCTGTATCAAAATCTTGATTATTACAAATTTTAGTTGATTATGGGTGTATTTTGGCACTTACGCAGGTGTGCTTGAGGGAAGTGTGACTCCTACATTAACTGGCAATTGATATGAAACTCATGCAATCCCTTAACAAAAAAAAAAAAAAAAAAAACTCATGCTTAACTCTAAAATTCTGAGGATTTTATTTATCATTCTGCTTAATAGTGAGTAGTATTTGGATTCTAATATTTAATGGGTTTCAATGGTCTTTTTTTTCCACTTTCATGACCCTAAAATTGCGCTATTATATCTTACCCAGTAAGGCAAAGGCTACATTCACTGCTGATTTTTTTATCTATATCAGAAACTACGTAGCCCCCACTAATAAGCTTTGAACAGTATGAACTAAGTGTAGAGCTTGAATTAAACAATTTATGAGTAAAATCTACTGCTCTATTACAAGTCAAACCATCTATTTTGAGTCATTAGCAACCTGAGATATGTTGGAGCTTTCTAGTCTGTGTTATGAGTAGTTTCCATGAGCTCAAAAATTATGTAAATCAAGTATAAGTTTAATTATAACATATTTACTGAGTTTAATTAGAACATATTTACAGATTGATCAAGTTGATTTCTTTTTTATTTTCTGTTATTGACTTGTTTTAGTGTTTTCTTATTAATTTTTTTAATACTTCTCGTGGTTAATTTTAGCTGAAGCACATGTAAGAGATATAGGCACCCGTTAAGAGTGGCGGTGTTTTTAGAGAATCTCTCATTTCAAAATGCATTGCTGACCGTCTTCACCCGCAAGTGTAGTCTAAACTTTAATGGAATTACCATTCAACAAATGATGGAATTTGATTGTTCTGCAATTATGATTTAATCATTCTCCTAGTCTAGGTTGTTATGGATTTTGTGGAATCGCAATGCTGGGTTTAACTGAATTTAGGATTAACATCTAATGCAAATAAATCGATTTGAGTGTCCTTATGGAGTTTTGAAGGTGGTACATATATTGTTTGATGATGAGGACACTACTTTCTCCTTTGCCTTTCTTTTCTTTTTGACAAGTATTGCTTACTTATTGATTATTGCAGGCATGGAAAGTATGTTGAACTTAAACAAGCTGATCTCAAGTTACTGGGCGGCACAATTCATAAAAGCTAACAAGGGAGATGATCAGTGATTTATTAAACTTTGAAGCTGATCTCATCTGTATCATGTTCATCTAAATTGGTTCCTCAAATCCTAAAAACGCTTAGGAAGGAGACGGACAATACATCCACGAGAACTGAACATGATATCATCAAATATTGGCATCTCGGAAATAAAACAATTCAGTTCCTTGTGATGTGCTTCTTGCTTCCAGTTCTTTCAGAAAGGAAGAAATTGAAGAAAATGTTCTCTTGTACTGACTCCTCCACAATGTGAGGAGTTGAGCTATTTTTGTAAAGTTGGAGAGAATTGTATTAGTGTTCAGCGTTAAGTATATATGTCATGGTGTAAACTACATTAATCATAATATTATTCTTTCAATGATAAATCTAAGCTTTGTGATAAGTGACCTATAGATTTTGTAGATATAACTGAGTCCATGCCGAAAATTATGTAATTAGATAATAGTAAGCTCTTTTTGCCGTGCGGAACTGAAATCTAAATATGATTTAGCTGAAACATAACTTTCAGCAAAAAAACGAGTTGTTAACTTGCCTTGCAATATACTCGAGATCCTTCAGACTTTTTCCTTTTTCAAGCAAAATTAACAGCATAAAAGACTATAGCACAATGTACATGAGAACAGAAGAGCCTAAAGCATATAATAAATTCGGGGTCTATGTAATTTCTCGTGAAACAAGCAAAGAGCCGTTGTAAAATTTGAACTTGAGAAATGAAAACTTCCTGGATAATTTAAAGCGCAAAAAACTGATTGCAAGATTAGTTACGAAATAGCAATCTTGGTTAGTTGATAGTAACGAAAATTATTAGTTATTTACTGCCGATCTTTTATCTAAGTTGGAATACGATTGCTTTGGACTCGGTTTCCGGGAATGATTTGGTGCCGTTACAAACACTTTAGTCCCACATCGGTTACTACAGTCCTTTTGTAACGCTTCATGAACAGATTCCAGCAAGCATTAATTGTCTCTTCGGAGACATCTGATAAAATTGGAACGATACAGAGAAGATTAGCATGGCCCCTGCGCAAGGATGACACGCACAAATCGAGAAATGGTCCAAATTTTTTTGGACGAACTCAGGTCTCTTCATCTTCTTCCCAAAGAATCTCTCTTTTCCCTATTTTTTTTCTTCCGAGTTCTTTTTTCTTAGGTTGATCTTAGTCCTTCTACCGATCTGTGTCTGTTGCCTTCTCATCTTGTTGGAACCATCTCGTGCTTAATTCGATGATGATCTATTCACAAACCAAAACCCTAATTTTGGGAAATCGGGTGCTTTTGATCTGGTGGAGCTCTATTTTCAGTATACATCTTATATCTTCATCTCATTGCAATGTGAATTACTGAATTGCTTGACATATGTTGCTGTGTTTTTAGAATTTTAAAATTTTTATAATTTTGGATGATAAATTGGCTACATTATCATGCTCATTTGTCAATATCATGTTTGAGCTGTGGCAAACTGAAGGGCCCGTATACAACAATGGAGTAAAAGCCCCCCCCCAACCACAAAAAAAAAAAAAACTAATTTTGTCACTCAAATTAGGAAAACTCCCCCCCCCCAACCACAAAAAAAAAAAAAACTAATTTTGTCACTCAAATTAGGAAAACTGTAATATGCTTATTTTTGGGTGAGGCATTTGGCAAGCTTACTAGTACATATTTATTACGTCTCTTTAGCGGCGGAGACGCCATACGTCTGGCAGTGTCAAACACCATGCACATGTCAATTTCGGGGTAAAATGCTTTGCTCTGGCCACTTCGTGTCCTTGTTTGTTTGCTTGGTATAGCGACATTCATCAGATGTGACGTTTGTTTTGTGTGCATTCGTGGGTGTTCATAGTATATATATGATTTATTACCTTTAGTGTCCTGTTTTAATCGCTTGAGCAAAAACTGACTTGGTTGTATTACAAATGCGTGTGCTGAATGCCTGAGCGTATCTATAAATATGGAAATACGTATACATGTTTCCTAGTGCTTTTGCTTCAGAATGTACCAATGTATATCACCTTTTTTGGTGTCAAAAAGGGTGCTTTTGTCACGATATCAGCTTGTTTGGCTAGGTATAGTAATAATGTAATATTTGGGACATCCCAAATATTACATTATTACTATACCACCCGACGGTGGTGGGGGTATTTTTTATTCTAAATATTATCTGCTTCTTTTGTATTGATAATGTAGTCTTGAACTCAATTGTAGTTCTTTTTTTTTATCTCCTTAAAATGCTTGGATTTGACATTGTTTTTATGAATTAATATTAAACAAAATTTGTCAATAAGCTTATGAAAATATTCTATACATTTCGAACTCCCACTTGTTTCCTTTTCTTTTTCTTTTGTTGTCTTACGTTAAACTTTTCATAACTTCTCTTTCATAGGTTATAGCAACAATGTAGAGGGTGGTATTAATTGAAGAAACCTAATAGCTATATGTGAGAGAAAATGAACTGTTATTCACTATGCGCCTGATCCTTTTGGATCGTTGTCGATGACTATACAGTCTTGTGAATTGAGGGCTATACAGAAGATTGTGTTACATTTACTTATCTTTTATTTGTAACAAGTGCACCGATTAGGACAAGTAATAATATTATAATCAGTGAAGCAAAAAGGACTAATGGTAGACTTATGGAATTTGTTTGGAAGCGGTTAAGAAGGATATGATAGTGGTTAGCTTATGAAGGAGATAACCTTTAGAAAAACTAAAGTGAAGAATAGGATTCATATGACCGACCCTAAAAATTGGTATAACTCTTGAATCTTTTTTAATCTTGTTCTTAACATGTTGGAAATTTATATGAGCATGCTAAGCACCCTTGATCTAGTGAACTCTATTGAAATATTTAACAGAACATTTTTTATTGTGCTTATTCTTGTTTTCTCCGTGTTACTTTTTCTCACTAATTTGATAGCATTTGTATTTTTTTACTGATTTGATATGAAATTTTCCACTTCAAATTAAATTGAAATCATTTTTAATATAGTGACTTTTGACAGGTTTAGGTAGGGAAAAACTATGAAGTCTATGGGCTGGTTAAAAAGTGTCAACGCATGTTAGACTTGTTAGTTTTATTTGAATGGTTCTCTAATAATTCATTTTCTTCCATCCAATACAGGGTTTCGTGAAATTTATTTTTAATTAAAATTTTCAAGGACATAATATGATCTATTGTCAAGCTGAAGCCTTTGACATCTACATTATGCCATAGTTTGCCAATATTATGTAGCTCTATGGAACTGCCAGAAATTACTGCACCTAACTCACAAATTATCCAGATTCTGTTTATTTTTTGGTTTTGGCAAATAAAGCTCACCTTCATTTACAGTGATGCACATAGGCCAATTTTCATACGAAGCTGATTGCAGTAGAAAATTGTCGAAGTAAATGGATTGTGTTTGCTTTTCAATCCTATGTGCATTCACCTGAAATGCTTTTTATAATTTTGTATTCCTGTGAAGTAATTTTGTATTCTTGTGAAGTTAACATAAAGTTTCCTCTTAAATGTGCCTGCTTAATGAAATAGGTCGATAAGTTGGTATCTATTAGCTATTTCGCTCTTATTCCCTTAGCATGTAGAAAATTTCATTTAGGAGTTCCATGTTTCTCATTGTGATTTTCCATTGCAGTTGAATGAGGATTTTAAAGTAAATATGAGATTTGTCTAGTATTTCTTGTGTTCCAGAATACCTGACCTGAACTAGGTTAGGATTCATAGTTCCAAAGAAACAAAATGTTGATATTTGTTCCAATTACCATAATACATATTGAGTTATTCCAATGGGAGATTTGTCTCGTTCATTGTGATATGCTTCATGAAATATGTATGTTAAAAACTAATGAAATTTAAAGCATCTAACTGATCCATCAAATGGTGACTTCCGTTCTATATTAAATGGCCTTTCATTTTGCATTCATTACATTACAAGGTTAAAAACCTTTAAACTACAAATGTTGATCCTCGACGAAAACATTTCATAGTTTTGTTTCCTATTAGATACTAACTTTACTCTTGCAGTAATAAAGGCCTGCTTCTATTGTGTAGTTATTTTCTTTATTCAGCAATTATTTTTACAAAATTTCTATCTATGTATATATTATTGTTCAATTAAATTTCTTGAGGAAATATTCATTTCTTGAAGAATGTTAAGACACAGGTCTTCTAAACTTGTTTCACCAGTAATAAAAGTGCCATTTTCATGCATTTCTGGCAAACATCATGTAGTTAATGGAAGACTGCTATTTGCATTATTCATGTGTATTTGTGATTCAATCGGTGAGAAGTTGCATATTGATGGATATCTCCTATTTGCATGAATAGGACTCAGAAACATGAAATCTCTTCTTACATAAGATGGTGCAGTCAGGTGGATAATTGCCTATTCCACAGCATTTTATACTTAGATGATACATTGAGCTTGCTCTTTGTTATTTGACTCAAAATGGTACCTCTTTTATATACATGTTTTTTTTGTTGCATAACTATTTGTGCTTTTCCCTTCTAGAACTCGAAGTCCTGCTAATGATTTGGTCCGTGCCGACCTCTTGTTAATCTACCATCAAATACTTAACAGATGATGATGTGACGTATAAATTGCAAAAGATCCTGCAAATTCAAATTTTACAAAAAACACCTTGGAACTTTCATAAATTGCAAAAAAGACCCCAAAAAACCCTAAAGATTCTGAAGGACGATGTTTGTAATTTTTGGATTTAGGATGTTTTTTGTAATTTCTAAAAGTTTAGGGTGTTTCTTGCAAACTTTGAAATTTTCAGGATCCATTAGTAATATTTTGAGATCTTCAGAGGGCTGTTTGTAAAGTTTTGATTTCAAGATGTTTTTTGTAATTCTAAAATTTTTGGGTGCTTTTTTGTAAATTTTGAATTTTTCTGTATTCATTTTTAATTTCATATTTTCATGGGACAATTTATAATTTTCAAAATTTCAAGGTGATTTGTGATTTTTGAATTTGTTTAGGGTGTTTTTTTTGTAAATTTCAAACTTTTTAGGGAGTTTGAAATTCCAAAATTTCGATTAAGTATTTGACGGTGGCTTCATAAAACGACCGCATTGTGCAAGCAAATATAGTATAAGGGGGAAAAATAGGCAAATTAATCATCGAGAAAGGAACTTGGGTTTAAGGGGGAGTTAGTCATTTTGTCCTTTTACTAATTAAAAACCAACTTGTAATGACCATGGAACGTCAAATTTTAATTGTCCACTTCTTTGCTTCTCCTTTTTCTTTCCTTCTCGTTAACTACATCTTTTCAAGGTGAAAGTCTTAACTTTGATCTCTCTGCATTCCCATTTCCTTCCTGAAATGAAATGCTACAATTTATTTGTCCAGTTTGTTATTGTTTCGGCAAAAGGAACTGAGCAGCTAGTACATATATCTCAGGAATCCTCAAAAGGAGATGCATGTAATGTTTTTGCAGGCAGAGCCTATGTTCAAAGTTGTGACAGAAGCATTTGTATGTATTTTCATTGCCATTTTTCTTATTATGGAAATATGTAAAAACTTTAGCTAATTTTCTACCAACGATGCTCTTTTTTGTAATGTATGGTTGGTGCTGTATATACGACATTCACTATGATGAAAATAAAGTAGAGAATGAAATTAAAGGCGTTCTGATCATGGACTAAGCTTGGGCTGCTATTGCTTACTACAAATGTACTATGTTGTATTTTAGTAGTTCATTCTTATTAGAAGATAAATTAATGACAAAATACTCATTTTGCCCTCTTTCTTTCATTTACCGTGTCTGATCTACATTTTCTTGTTGAAAGTACATGAAGAAACAGACCAATTTTAAATTAAGAAATCAATTTCTCTTTCATCTGAATAAGTCAATAAGTGAAACAAGCTAGCAGAACCACGATATCGTGCAGTTGGGATGTCAGTTTCCCCCTCATTTGCATTATTAGTTGGCAAAATAAAGTCATTAACTTTTATGTTAAGTTTTGCAGAGTTTAATCTTTTGTTGATTATTTTTCTGCATGATCTTTTTGCATGAACAATATACTAATCGCAGAGAGTAGAGATGGGAAGAATGTAGCATCCTCTGGATTAAACTTTAGAATGCACACAGGAGCTACAAGAGAATTTATGGTTCTCCGTGTAACTCCTAGGTACGTATCAGATGGTGATCCTAGTGCTTATTTTTGTCTTTTCCATATTTATTCAGCTATTAATATCTGGATATACTGTATAAGAATGTGTTTTTAACTAATAACCAACATTTTGATACCTGGATATTGTATAAGAATATTTTTTTAACTAATGACCACCATTTTCAGTGAATTTCAGTGATCTATGTTCGAAATGCTGTTCTGATCATCTTTGTATTTTCTTTCATTCATACCGTCTAAGAATGTTCTTTTAACTAATGACCACCATTTTCAGTGAATCTCAGTGACCTATGTTCGAAATGCTGTTCTGATCATCTTATTATTTTCTTCATTCAACTGGAAGTTAACTCCATTTGTGACTAGTTCAATTTATCAAATCCATGCTTGTTGCCTTGCATTTAAATTAAATTTTCGGATGGAAAGGATTGATTCTGTATATTTTAGTCTTGTTTCCCTCATCTCTGAGACCTGCTTGGATTTGTTAGTCCTCTTATTGCTAATCCGATAATGTCTTTCTGATATGTTTCAAGAAAAAAAGAAAAAAAAAAGTTTTGGCTTCTCACTGCTGAATGATTTTTAATGGATGTAATCTTCTGTTTCATCCTAGCAGCATAAGGTTATCAAAAGATATGTGAGATTACTTCTTTTATTTATTTATTTACTTTTATTTATTTATTTTATTTACTTTTGCCTTCTATCATCAATGAGCAAGTAGGTCCAACATTTCTAATTTTAGGAAAGTCAAAACTGCAACAAAAGAGATAAAACATTCATGCGTACCAGATCTGTATCTCTCACATGAACTTATAGATCACATTTACTATTACTTCTTCTGCTAATGTTAGAACCTTAAAGTGACTAAGGTACATTTTTTGTTCATTTCTTGTATCTTTATGCACCATCTGAACTGTAAAGACAAATGTCGCATATAGTACATACTGATACTGATTAACTTAGAGGAGATGTCTCTTAACATAACTGAATTGAAAAATAAGATTATGCGACTGGTCTCAACAGTTCGGAACAAAAGGTTTTTTTGTGTTGTTGTATATTACATACTGATGGCTGGAAAGTACCCAGGACTAATAAAATTCTATAGTTACGATCGGGCACTCATCACGATGGTGAAATTGAGTATGATGAACTAGAATGGTTAAAGTGGAAGATTGTTTTTGGAGACCTAAGTGGTCATGGAATACTTATGAAATTGAAAGAAAATTTTATAAGATAACTATTAGACCAACGATGCTTTATGGATCAGAATGTTAAGCAATCAAGAAATAACATGCGCAGAAAATGAGCGTACTAGAAATATGGTTATGATAGCCCTATGGATATACTGAAGGATAGAAATAAGAAATGAGTGCATTTATAGGAAGTTAAAGGTCACTTCTATTAAGGGTAAAATGAGAGAACTTTGACTTAGATGCTAGATCACCAAGAATGAGACAGAGCACTAGAGGTAGGTATATGAGAACTCAGTTGAAACCATTGATGTAATAATTTTAACTTAGCAGAGTCAATAGCCTTTAACAAAATTGAATGGAAAAATAGGATTTATATACAGAGTATTGGGATGAAAAGTTTATGCTGCAATCAGCTGTGATCATTGCTACACAGCCATGCAAAAATAATCAAATACTATTCAATTATGGTTGTTTATATTTTGTTGTCAATCAATGTAATTAGTTCTATAATGATTAGTTCTTGTGTTGTTATCCAGCTTATGCTGCAATTCAGCTATGATCATAGCTATACAGCCATGCAAAAAAAAAAAAAAAAACTCAATTATGGCTGTTTATCAAAAAAAAAAAAAAAAACTCAATTATGGCTGTTTATATTTTATTATTAATGTAATTAGATCTATAAATATTCACGGTTCCTTTCATAACGACAACCCTGTTACAGCTGTCTTAAGTAACTTCTTTTTGCAAAAATGTCGCCAACTTGTCTTTGTAACTGCGTTCCAATAAAAAAACAGCTGCAATTGCATCTGTAAATATATTTTGCAAATTTCAACTTTTAATTGCAACTTGTATAGCTTGCCAAATATAAGTCTAATGCTAGTTACTGAACTCTAGTTCATTTTTTAAACAGGGACCCAAAGATCAATAGCATCTCTACGGCAACCATTTTCTCAAGGACCTTCCTTGGAGGGCAAGCTCTTTTCTTTCTGGTTATTTTATTTGTACACAGCCTGCTAATTTCAATGGCCTCTCATGATCAGATCTGCCAATCTTAGGGAAGGAAAATAAGTGAAATAGCAGCCACTATATTATAATGGCATTATTTTTCATAGAGTCGATGAAAAATAAGTGATGACTGTGATATTTTTGGTAGTAGATTTTATTCTCCTTCTACATTTGCGTAGTCAACATTATTATAGGGTTACTGTCATGTTTATTAAATTGAAGATTCCATGACAAAGCTTAGACAGTGATATGTGGATCTTCTGCATATTATATATGCTTAAGGTTTTGTTTTTACTGCTGGATCAGTGTCCCCCTCTTTTTACTGGCATCTTCCACATCAAGAAATTTCTACAATAGAGGAGCTTCCCCTTTTTTCTACTGGCATCTTCCACATCAAGAAATTTCTGAAATAGACACCTCTAAGATTCACTTGTTATTATACGCATGCATTCTGTATTGTAGATGCGTACTGAAAAATATACCAGACCAAGCCTTCATTCAGGTAATCACCACGTCGTCGATTACGTTCAGCCCACATCTTGCACTGAGTAAATTTCATTCTTTGCATTTTCGAAATGACGATAACAACAACAATAATGATAACCTTGTCATAATGCCATTAATTTACCCATAATTGTATGATTACGTTGTTTTCTTGAGTATTGCTGAATGTTTCATTAGTTGCCAATTGGTTATTCTTTCAAGTTTGGTACTTGCAAAAGCAAAGTAGGTATCATACTGTTGACTTGCATGGCTAAGAGACAATTCCTTGGATATACCATAATAATATGAAGGTATAAAGGAAAATGCATGTTTCATTAGGTGCATAAAAGTATAAAACCCTAATATGTGCATGCAAATATAATATGTGTATCAATATTAACTAGTTTCCTTGGCAATAAACAGACAAATGTTTGTTAATTTGAGACTTCTTGAAGGACCCATCACTCATTTGCGACGTGTAATACAATAGAGTTATGTGAAGACTTCAAACCACTACTCAGGTTTTCTAACATGCGTGCATGTTTCTTTTCAATAATTATCAACTACGTCTCATTCTTTGAAAAGTTTCGAGTTCTAACGTTTAAAAAATTTGCATGCTAGGTGTACACTTCGTTAGAAGTTGGTGAAGATTTGTTAGTTCACGAGGAGAGGTTCGCTTAAAAGTCAAAAGATAAGCCTAGATTGAAATAGGAGTAAACCACACCCAACACCACCGTGTATAGGGAAGTAGAGTTATGTTTCAAGACTTGGTGGACTTTCCTTTTCGGCGATTTTGAAAGAGAAGTAGAACTCGAAAGTCATTTTTGACGTTGTGATTTTGGTGGCAATTTATATTTGTTTAATGGGAAATTTGTCATTGTCCTCAATCGTAGACAGATATTCAATTAATGTTCTAGAACAATTAAGGAAGCAGTTAGCGTATGCAAAAGTTAATGCACCAAGATTGAAATAGAGCAAGAACTAGGCTAGGCAACATAATCATTGTGATACTCCGCATCGAATATTGATTTGAGTAATTGAATGGTTTTAATGATTTATATATATATATATA